GATTGCTTTGGATGCGATTGGCTTTGCGGGTGAAGTTCTAATCATGTGGGATAACCGTTGGGTTTCTTTGGTGGACTCTCAGGTGAGGCTTTTCTCCGTTTTCTGTGTTCTCTCTGTGTTGGAGGACGGTTTTCGTTGGGTTTTCTCTGGTGTTTATGGCCTTACAGAAGACAGTATGTGACATTTGCTTTGGGAGGAGTTAGGAGTGGTCCGAAGGAGATGGGAGCTGCCTTGGTGTATTAGAGGGGACTTTAATGTTGTCTGTTCTCCTTTTGAGAGGTCGACGGGGGGAAGATGGACATTTGACATGGAGTCATTCTCGGAGTTCATTGATGTGTCGATGTTGATTGATTTGCATTTGGTGGGTGGTCCCTTTACTTGGTCTAGTGGTCGTTCTCCTCTTTCTCTCTCTCGTCTGGACAGGTTCCTTTATCTGATCATGTTCCGTTGATGTTGGATAGTGGTGGGTTTTGTAGTAGAAGTTCCCTTTTTCAGATTTAAGAATATGTGGCTTCGAGCTGAGGTATTTTTGGAGCGAATTCGATCCTGGTGGGAGGAGGGGTATAGTGTGAGTGGCTCCCCTAGTCATTTTTTCGCAAGTAAGCTGCGTTTGTTGAAGAATGATCTTAAAGTTTGGAACAAAGAAGTTTTCGGTAATCTGGTTTGGCGGAAGAATCGGGTTTTTTTAGAGATCGCTGATATTGATCGGATGGAAGGTTAGGGCTCTTTGTCGTTTAGGAGGGTGGAGTGTCAGGCGGAGTTTGCTGAGATTGCAATCATGGAGTAGATTTCGTGAAGGCAAAAGAATCAACCAATGCTCATAGTAGGGGCAATCACATCGGGAGAATCCGAGTGGATAGAGAGGTGTATTGTAAGGAGGAGGAGATTTGCAATGGTATTGCAGACTACTATTCGATGTTGTTCATAGAATCGGATGGTTGGAGACCTTTACTTGTAGGGCTTCAGTTTGATTCTTTATCTGGTGAGGAGAGCTCTGTTTTGGAGGAGCCGTTTTTTGAAGAGGAAGTTTTGTCTGCGTTGAAGAGCTGTAACGGGGATAAAGCCCCAGGTGCAGATGGTTTTTCCATTAGATTTCTTTTGGAGTGCTAGGGGGTGGTTCGTGAGGAGGTGATGGGCACCTTTCACACTTTTCATGCTCAGGGCTCTTTTGAGAAGAGGTTGAATGCCACGTTTATTACTCTCATTCCGAAAAAGGGAGGGGCATTGGATGTTAGGGATTTTTGCCCTATTAGCTTAGTGGGGTATCTTTGCAAGTTGATTTCTAAAGTCCTGGCCTCTAGGTTTAGGAAGGTCTTGGATGGTGTCATTTTTTACTCTTAGAATGCTTTAGTGGGAGGTTGTCAGATTTTGAATTCTGTTCTTATTGCTAGTGAATGTGTTGACTCCAGATTGAGTAGTGGGAGTTCGGGTGTTTTGTGTAAGCTGGACATGGCGTATAATCATGTGAGCTGGAGTTTCCTCTTCTACTTGATAGATAAGATGGGATTTGGGGAGCGTTGGATGAGATGGATTCTGTTTTGTATTTCTTGTGCTCGTTTTTCAGTTCTTGTGAATGGAGCTCCGACCGGTTTTTTCTCTAGTTCGAGGGGGGTTGAGAGAAAGGGATCCTATTTCTCCGTTCTAGTTCCTCTTTGTGATGGAGGCCCTTAGTAGATTGATTAAGAGGGCGGTTGAGTTGGGGGTTTTGAGAGAGGCTTTAGGGCAGGCAGGGATGTTGCCAGCCAGTTAGAGATATCCCACTTGATGTTTGTTGATGATACTTTAGTACTCTGTGATGCTGATGCGGCTCAGTTCAGATATCTGAGATTTGTTTTGGTCTGGTTCTAAGTTGTCTCTGGGTTAATGGTGAATGTTGGTAAGAGTGTTCTTGTGCCAGTTGGGGAGGTCCCTGAGATTGAGAGGTTTGCCTAGATTCTTGGTTGCCACACTGGCTCCTTTTCTATTTCTTACTTGGGGTTGTCCCTGGGTATTCCTTCAAGGTGTGTGGGGAGCTGGGATCCGGTTGTGGATAGATTTGAGAGAAGGCTGGCGGGTTGGAAGCAGTATCTCTCTAAAGGGGGGTCGGGTCACTCTGATTAGGAGTATCCTTTCTTGCCTCCCACTTATTTCATCTCTCTCTTTCAGATTCCTTCCTTTGTGGCGGAGAGGATTGAGAGATTGCAGCCCAATTTTCTTTTTGCCCCCGCGCCGGGGGGGGGGGGGGGGGGGGGGGGGGACTTCATGTTTTACTTGGTTCGTCGGGAGTAAGTGTGTTGTCCAATTCGGAGTGGTGGCTTAAGGATTAGAAGGTGGTTGCCTTTCAATAAGGCTCTCCTTGGGAAATGGCTCTGGAGGAGGGTGATTGCGCATAAGTTTGGGGAGAGTAGTGGAGGGTGGAGTTCTCTTGTGGTGCATGGTCATAGGGGAGTGTGGGGGTTTAGACTGGCATTCGGAAGGGTGGGATGATTTCTGCAAACATGTTCGTTTTCGAATTACGGATGGTAGGAGTATCAGATTTTGGGAGGATCTTTGGTGTGGGGAGCTTCCTCTTGCGCTCGCTTTCCCACAGCTTTACAGGATTGCTTCTCATAGGCAGGCCTTGGTGGTTGACTATTATCATCTTGATAACGGGAGATTGACTTGGGATGTTTAGTTTATGAGCCATTTCCAGGATTGGGATATTGAGGAGGTCACCCGGTTTTTTGAGTTATTGTACCGTCAAACGATTATAGCTGGGGATTCTGATTGTTGGCTTTGGTTTCCTAACCCTCACGATCGCTTCGAGGTGAGGTCCTATTTCAGGTGTTTTAGCGCTGGCGGCTTTTTCTTTTGGAAGTCTATTTGGTGTTCCCAGGCTCCCCTCAAGGTGGCTTTCTTTTTTTGGACTTCTATCTTGGGTAGGATTTTAACCCAGGATAATTTGAGGAGTAATCAGGTGGTGGTTAATAGATGCTATTTGTGCTTGTGTGATGAGGAGACTGTTAATCACCTTCTGCTTCATTGGCTAGGGGCTGTTGGGATTTGATGATTGGGTTTTTTGGGATTTCGTGGGTTATGCCTAGATCCTCTAGAGGGTTGATTGTGGCTTAAAGAGGATTTTCAGTGGGGGCTCTCATTCGGGACGCTTGGAGGGCTATGCCTCTTTGTATTTGATGGTGCATCTGGCTTGAGAGAAATCGGAGATATTTCGGTGGAAAGGAAAAGCCTATCTCGAAGCTTAAGTTCTATATTATTATTTCCACTCTTTTTTGTTGGGTTTCAGGGAGAGATTTTAGATCTATTGAGGAGTTGGTTGTTTTTTTTGACCTCTTTGAAGGCTTGAGGCGTTTTTGGCCTTGTTTTGTCCTTGGGATTCTCTCCCCTTTTGAGCGGTTTCTTTAATAACATTTACTTATCAAAATAAAAAAAATAATAAAAAAAAAGGATAGAATTCTTTAGCATAATCACGAATTGAAAGATTTTCTTGGCGACAATTTTGGTATTGTTGAAATAAAATCTGTTCATAATTAGCCAGTAAAGATCGCTGTTTGAGTAGTTGTTTCATCCGAGACCATGATCTAATCGGATTCTTCAATGTTGTAACTGATCCCACCATGCAGAAGCACCACTCTTAAGATGATAGGCGACCAATTTAACCTTCTTTTCCTCTGCGATACCCATATAATAAAAAAAATTGTCAACTTCCGAAAGCCAGTCTAGAAACCCTTCGATATCAAGTTGACCATTAAAAGACATAAGGTCAATTTTCATCCGAAAATCTCGCTGATTTGTTTCGACCCCATGATCTCCATGTGCTAAAATGATAACTTCAATCTCGTCATCGCTTGAATAGACCAATCCTCTTGCTGAAACTAGCGCTGATTTTTAGCACGTTGAAGATGACCACGTTGATTTCCAGCCCTTTGTCGTGTCTGATTCACACCATCAGGAAATTAAAACTATGAAAACTTTCCTAAAACGGAAAATAGAAAACACTGTTCCCAAGTACTTTTCATGCACTGTTCATGCCTGCCCATTCATGTAGATCATATATATATATATATATATATTTATATATTCAATTAGCGGTTCAGTTGTAATGGACCCCAAACCAGAAACAAATTGTGAGTTAGCAGTTTGTTTTTGGAATCCGTAACACACTAGATTGAACATATGGTCTGGTTCGGTTTGGATATATTCACCGGTTCCACTGATTTTTTGTGCACCCCTAATTACTACAAGTGATGCCAGCGGATGTATAATCAGATTGACTGGAGTCTAATTATATATTAAGATGACGTTGCCAACTCATGCTTGTCAGGTAATAAAAGAGAAGTATGAAACACATTTGTGTAGCTAAATTAAGAATGATGAGAAGTATGCAACGCATTTGTGTAGCTGAAATATTAGGTAGATGAGATGACATGAGTAATTAGAAGTAATATGGTTATTAATTAACATGTGATATAAATCAAGAGTGACACTTGTTGCTAATAAAATGAAAGGAAGGCTCACTTAGGTGGTCTAGACATGTATTATTTAGACTGTGGACCGTTAAGAAATAGAAGATTAGTTTCAAGAGAAATGAGAAAAAATAGGCTAACCGATATGGGATAGAATAATTAGACTTGGTTGAAAAATAAATATAATGGGAGAGATTGATTTCAATGGTAAAGAATGAAATAAGAGAATAGATATGCGATTCCGTGAATATGGGATAAAGGGAAGGATAATGACCATGATTCCAAACTCATTAAAAAAGTTAAAAAAAAAGAAAAAGAGATTATGATCTTGACTTAATCAATGTGATTATCTGACTTGAATAAAATTTCCCTTTTCTACGTTCTTCTTATAACATATGTAACATTTATATTTTGTTTTCATGTTGTCGAAAACTTTTGGTTTACCTTTAAATTTGGTTTGAGCTTGAATTTGATGTTTTGTAGGAGTTCAAACTTTACTGAAAATTTTATTATCACCTGTCATATCATATTTGGTTGACTGAATTTTTGTATTGTTAGCTGCAAATGATGATGAGGAACACTTGTGACAGCCGACGATGGTTTACAAGTCGTATTGATGCAATTAGTGTTGCGACCAATGTTGAGAGTAATGCCTTTTCTACCAACAAGGCTGGTGATGCAATTAACGGTGAGGGCCCAGGTAAGTGTGATTATGATGCATGTGTCCTCATTTTTAATTCCTTTTTATTTGAATTATAATCTTAGTAAAAATCATGTGAACCAAAAACTCTTGTTATAGCGTATGAGCTTCAAGCGTGATGCACATTGTTTGTATTATGTCATTTGAAAAAAAATCCAATTTGAATTTGGGTGGGAGCATCCTATAGATTGATACCCGATATTAAAAGAGATAAAAGTAAAAAGAAAAATATGGAGTCAGGAAATATGTAAATTTTATGTCTAGTTATCCTAGTGGGATTCAAATGAATACATAAAACATAGATTTTGTGATGTTGTGGCTCGAAATTTTTTTGACCCATTTTCTGCGTGCTGGTTGCGGACCTTATTTAGTATTGTCTTGTAGCCTGATATATAAGGGCGTTTAGGGTTTGGAGTGAGATTATTGAGAGACTGAAAATCGCTGAAAAGAGAGCAAGAGCTAGTGTTAAAGGGTGAAAGTTGTTATCTCCTGATTTTTGCATAGTGAACTCTTTCACCGGATCTTCACCGTGGACGTAGGCTTTATCGAACCACGTAAAGCGTAAAACGCTCGTGAAAGGCTTTGGTCTTGTTCTTCAATATCGGACATTGTGTCATTTGTGTGTGGCATGTTTATTTTTGTTGTGTTTCATGATTGTTGCTTGGGTTTGCTGTGCTTTTCGTAAGAGATACCATTTGTTCGAAGATTTGGTATGTTCAATTTATAGTTGCTGCATCATATTACTTATTTTTTTCAATAAAAATCATTTTTACTTGGTTCTTAATTATTTACGACCAAACCTGGATTGAGAGCATAACTGAAGTCATGGTCTTGATAAGAGCACTAAATTGAGACAATCTTTTTCACAAGCCCTAAGGCCATCCTCTCTCTCTCTACCAGCGAGCTACTCCTACAGATCTGTCGATCTCCTCCACTGGCGAGCTCCTCCACCAGCAAGAAGTGCTACTTTGCCATTCTCTAGACAACCAAATAGTGATGGAAGAAGTGGAATTATCAACATGCGATTGGAAAGAGCTTAGTAATAGAGATGCGGTCTGAGTCTACTTCTCCGTCCAGTCACCGGAAGCATACATTCCGGTGAAATCCTCTGTTATCGTTTCTTTGACTTTCTTCTCTTTTCACTCGTGTTTGTCAATGAGTTCTCTGGATGGTTAGGGATTGTCGTTTCTTAAGGTTCTGTTGGAAATTGTGTCTCAAATTTCTATTCTAATTATGTTTCTATTTTAGAGTTGTATTCTGCTTGGTAATTTCTTGTTTAGCAAGTCTTGGCCTCTGAGAATTGTAATCTTTGTCCAACAAGGAATTGGGTTTGGAACTCTATAAATAGATACATAGGCTTTGGGGTAAGACTTATGAGATTGAGAGAGATGTAGTCTCATGAAGGAGTTAATAGGTAGAGGTAGTATGTGGGGGTAGTGTAGGAAAAACACCGGTGATGCTAGTAGCGAGGCAATAGACTCGTGGAGTGGTAGTGTTTTTTTTTTTTGATAAGTAAATTGTATTAAAAGCGTTCAAAAAGGGGAACGCGACCCAAACTATACAAAGACAAAACGGAGCCTATTAATTCAAAGAGCTCATAAAATCAACAATCTCCTCAAGAGAGGAGTAGTCTCTCCCCTGACCCCAACAAAACAAATTACAAATGATAGAAAATTTTAACACCCCAATGGAGGATTCCTTTCCCTCAAAAGATCTTCCATTACGCTCTCTCCAAAGGCTCCACCAAATACAAAAAGGGATCACCCTCCAAAAAACTCTGACCTGAGCCCCCACCCATTGGCCCCTCCACATATCTAACAACTCCCAAGATGTCCGAGGCATGACCCAATGAATACCAAACAGGCGAAACATCAAACTCCAACAATCATGAGCCATAGGACAGTGCAACAAAAGATGATCCACCGACTACCCATTAATCTTGCAAAGACAACACCTATTAACAATGATATGCCTTCTCTTCCTCAAGTTGTCCAAAGTCAAAATCTTACTCCAAGCTGCAGTCCACACAAAAAAGGCCACCCTAAGAGGCGCCTTAGACCTCCACACCGTCTTCCATGGGAATGAGGTACCATGAAAACCAGAAAAGCACACAAAAAAGGACCGGACCTGGAACATCCCCTGAGAAGAAGGCACCCAAATCAAGGAATCTGCCCCAGACCCCTCCACCTCCTGTCCGTAAAGAAGAGCCAAAAACCCAGTGACATCATCCAGCTCCCAATCCTGAAAAGCTCGCCGGAAACGCACATCCCAAGACAACCTTCCACTATCAAGGCGATAGTAGTCAGCAACCATTGCATGTTTGTCAACAGCAATCCTAAAAAGCCTTGGAAACAATAGGGCCAAAGGCCTATCATCACACCATGGATCCTCCCAAAACCGGACAGTTCTTCCATCCCGAACTCTGAATCATCACACCATGGATCCACCCCTTACCAATGGCCCTCCACACCCCCACTCCGCTAACAGACCTGATTGGTCTAACTGACCACCCTCCTCCCTCCTCCCCAAAGCGACATGAGATAACCCTTCTCCATAATCTATGTCTTTCCTTACCAAATCTCCAAAGCCACTTACCAAGAAGAGCACAATTGAAAAGGGCCAATCTCCTAATTCCAAGCCCTCCCAACCGAATAGGCCTGCAAACCTGTTCCCATTTGACAAGATGATACTTGAACTCTTCTCCGCGACCCCCCCAAAGGAAATTACGTTGGAACATTTCTAGTCTTCCAACAATAGAGGCTGGAATACGAAAAAGTGAAAGAAAGTACGTTGGAAGGCTTGACAAAGTGCTCTTCACTAACGTAACTTTACCGCCCTTTGACAGATATTGTTTTTTCCAACCCGCTAATCTTCTCTCGACCCGCTCAATCACCGGGTTCCAACTTCCCACCCTCCTAGCCGAGTCCCCCAGCGGTAAACCCAAGTACGAGATGGGAAAGCGTTGCGTCCCACATCCTAGAACAGCAGCCAGAGTGTCCACCTCCTGAACGTCCCCCACAGGAACAATCACACTCTTTCCCACGTTAACTTTCAAACCAGAAACAGCCTGGAAACAAACCAAGACACATCTCAGATACCTCAACTGGGAAATATCAGCCTCACAAAAAACAATAGTGTCATCTGCAAAAAGTAAATGAGAGATCTCCAACTGCTGAACTGATTCAGGGCTAATCTTGAAACCCCTAAGAAAACCCAAATCCACCGCCCTTCTCATCAGCCTGCTAAGGGCCTCCATAACAATAATAAAAAGAAAAGGGGAGAGAGGATCCCCCTGTCTCAACCCACGAGAACTGCCAAAGAACCCCGAAGGAGAGCCATTCACCAACACCGAAAACCTAACAGTGGAAACACAAGAAACAATCCACTTCCTCCATCTCTCACCAAAACCCATCCTCTCCAACAGATAGAACAGGAAATTCCAGCAAACATGATCATAGGCTTTCTCAATATCCAGCTTGCACAGAACACCAGGAGTCCCACTACAAAGTCTAGAATCCACACATTCGCTAGCAATAAGAGCGGAATCCAGAATCTGTCTACCCCCAACGAAAGCATTCTGAGACTCAGAGATAACTCCATCCAGGATCTCCCTCAATCTAAAGGCAAGGACTTTTGCAATGATCTTGTAAATGCACCCGATCAGACTAATGGGTCTAAAATCCTTGATATTAGAAGCATCACCCTTTTTAGGAATAAGGGCAATAAAAGATGCGTTAAGCGATTTCTCAAATCGCCCCGTGGAATGGAACTCATGAAAAGTGCCCATAATCTCGTATCGGACCACCTCCCAGCTTTCTAGCAAAAATCTCATCGTGAAACCATCAGGACCTGGAGCCTTATCACCATTGCAACTCTTTAAAGCCTTCAGCACTTCCTCCTCCGAAAAAGGATTTTCCAGCCCATCTCTCTCCAAGGCAGAAATAGAATCGAAGTGAAGACCATCTAGACGAGGTCTCCAACGAAGAGGCTCAGAATAAAGTCCTTGATAGAAAGAGACAATAGCACTTCGCACCTCCTCCTCCGAAGACAAAACTGCACCATCCACACACATCCGCCCAATATGATTACTCCTCCTATTAGCATTAGCAGTTCTGTGAAAAAACTTCGTATTACGATCCCCCTCTTTGAGCCATAATGCCCGAGATTTCTGACGCCACGAGATTTCCTCCAAAAGAGCAATCTCCACACATTCTGCTTGGCAAGTTGCTCTTCTACTGCGTTGAGATTCCGAAATAGCACCCTCCCCTTCCAATCGATCAATCTCCGCAATATCAGCTAAAGCCCTATTCTTCCTCCACACCATGCTCCCAAACACCTCCTTATTCCACCTTTTAAGATTTGTTTTCAAGATTCGAAGCTTTCCGGCAAGAATATGGCTCGATGTACCCACCACCAGATTCTCCTCCCACCAAGAATGGACAAATTCCTGGAAGTTATCCGCACGAAGCCACATGTTCTCAAATCTGAAAGGAGTACTACGAGATCTCAAACCTCCACAGTCCAAAACCAAGGGAATGTGATCCGACGTCACCCTAGCCAAAACTGCCTGAACAACATCCGGGAATTTCTCCTCCCATTCACCTGAAATAAAAAATCTATCAATGCGAGAGAAAGTTGGAACTTCCCTTCCACTGGACCAAGTAAAGGAAGCTCCCTCAAGAGGGAGATCAATAAGCTGGTGGCCATTAATAAAATCAGAAAAGTGCATCATAGCCTGGGTCACGGGCCAACTGTAGACCTTTCCGTCGGAGATCTAACCATATTAAAGTCTCCTGCCATACACCAAGGAAGAGACCACCTCCCCTTCACCCCACTCAACTCCTCCCACGAACCATCCCTCTCAACATCATCAACCGGCCCATACACCCTAGAAAAACCCCAAGTGAAGCCATCCTCCAGTACAAAAGCACAAGATAAAGAAAATCTCCCTCTGCAAACATCGACTTTAGTCATCAATCTCCTATCCCACATAATAAGAA